TCCAGAAAGGCCTGCGCACCTGGAATCTCAGAGGCAGGCGGCACTGGGTGCCATTTATTTGGGTTGCTTCCTGAGGCCGTTTACTTTGGAGAAGGTGAGCAGGGTGGATCCCAGCTGTCCTATGCTCTGGATTCTCCAACGGCATAGAAGGCCTGGGGACGTCCCGGAAGGAGCCAGTTAGCGGAGCAGGAGCGGGAGCCGGCTCTGGCGAGGGGGAGAAGCCACACTTTCGTGAGAACACATTTCTACAGGACTTGGCCAGACAGGTACGGGGCCTGACCACACAGGCTTATGTAAATTCCAGCCCTGCTAATCTGATCATCTAACCCACTGCCCTCCCAGAAGAATGGGCTGTGCCCAAAGAGGCCGGGTCCGTCTCGAAACCCCAGCCGCACGTGTCACCCGGAGCTATCGGAGGGCGCCGGGTGCGACTAGGGCCGTGGGGCTTGGAGGACAGCTGGACATCTTTCTTTCTTTCCTCCACTCTTGCGGCTCGAGGCGCTGGCCTCAAGGAGGGCTCGGTACCGAGCACCCCCGGGTGCCTTTGGCTTATGGTGGGGTGGAGGTGACTCCGCTGCTGTCAGGAACCAGAAAATATGACGGTCTCTCTGGGGGGGAGGGGAGGCTCTTGGGACCTAGGCAGAAGCTGCTGCCTCTAGAGGGCGCGCGCGTCCCATGAACTTCGGGGCCGCCGAAGCTTTGGACGTGCGGGCATCACTCAGTACCGGTTGCTACAGGCTGCCCCTAAACTTATTGCACCCCTCTACCCTGCCGTCCTGAGTGGCCCCCTGCCATCCGGGTCTCAGAAGACTGAAAGGAAAGCCCGGGATCCAGTCTACAGCCTCACACGCCACGCCACGGTCTGCCCAGGACTTCAGGCAGTCATCTACCTGGGACCGCCTGAATTCAATCCTCTGCCACCCCCATCTCGGACTCCAGATGGGTCTCTGGGCGTGGAGGAGTTTTTGATGAGAAGAGGAAAGCCAGTGGGCACAGTTCTATAGGCCTCCCGCCTCCCCTTCTGCGCACAGCACTGGGTCTCCACCAGAACCCTTGCGCGGGAATCACCATAGGCACAAAACAGACGAGCCACAAACATTCCGTTCAACCAAGTCTGTCCTGGACTACGCTCGGCTCAGGCAGCCGCTACCTAAGCTAGTTCTGCCCTCGGGACGCAAGACCCGGAGGTGGCATCGCGGTCAGAGACCCTCCGCACTTGATCTCCGCTTTCCGGGGAGTATCTGCCCGGGAAACAAGCCCGCCGAAGGAGTCCCTGCCAAAGCTAAGGGTGAAGGTGGCCAGCGAACTGAAAGAAAGGGTAGGGTCGGCGCCTTGGCGTTTCCCTAGCAGAGGACTCCAGAAAGAGCCGGCGTCGCGGCGGCGGGCGGGGCGGCAGGCCCTGTGTTGCCGGGCCACCCCACTCACTCGTCCTCTTGGCTCCTTGATTTCCCTCGCCCGCCAAAGAGCCCAGGACAGAGCCTGCCCAGCCCAGGCGCAGACTTTGGGCCGCTGGGTCCCTGGGCGCAGTCTGCTTACACAGGAAGGGCACTCAACGCTCAGCGACCTCTGGCGTCAGGGCGCTTCTTGAACCCTAGGAGATGGGGGAGGCAGGTGAAGAGGGATCCGCCAGTGGCCAAAGACATGACGGTGCTCACGCCCGCCCCTCGGGCTCGGCTTGTGCTCGGGGTTCGGGTTCATGGCTTCTTGGCGGGGTGACGTCTGCGGAGGACTTTAGAGGGGGAACTAGGTTCAATGCAATGGCCTCTTTGGGGAACCGGAGGGGGCTCCTCGGTGCCGGCTTCACGACCCCGCCCCCCTGCTCGGTCGGCTGCCCGGAAAGACCGGAACACTCCCGACCGGTACCCGTCAATCTTCCTTCTCTCGACGGTCCCTGGCTCAGCCCTGGGGTGTCCGCCGCCGAGAAGACCAGGGGCGAAGAGGCAGTGGGGACCGGGAGGGCGCGCGGCCGCGGCGCAGCGGCTCGGTGTTCACTAATCACATCAGCTCGCTCTGCGCCGGCTCCGAGCAGGCAGTTGCCTAGCAATGCCCGCGGATTCAATTCCTCAATCAATAGGCGCGAGGCTCTGCATTTCGGGGAGCTCTGTTGAGACTGGGTGGGACTGGGACACGGGTCCCTCGGTATTAGGGAGCAAGCCGGGGAGGCTAGGGGCAAGGCTACCAAGCACCTGGGACTCGGAGAACAGCGACGTCGGACCTGGGGGTGAGCCGCGAAGGGGGAAGCCCCGCCAGAAAAAGGGAACCCCAAGGTGGCGTGGTGCATCCTCCCGAGGTCCCCGACTTCTGCCCTGGTCCCAAAGAAGTGTAATCGGTAGGCCAGGAAAGCCAGAAGCCCCCCGGGGAGGCAGAAGAAAGTCATACCCGGCTCCCTCCCAAGCCCAGCCCCCCTAAGTGGGGGTGCCCTCGTTGGGGAAGGGCTTTCGCGGGGACCCGGTCTCTTCCCAGGCGGAAGGGGAGGAAGGTGAGACCTGGGGTGAGAGGAGGCACAAGTCATCCCTTTCCAGCAGCTTCTTCACCCTGTTTAGAGAAAAAAAAATTAAAATAATAAAACCAAGACGTGTGTCTATTTACAAAGTATATATTTAAACACGTAAAAAGCGGTATTGGATACAGACATTCACAACCAAAGAAGAAAGGTACCGAAGCTTCACTCGCGTTGAGGCGGAAATCGATTCGAGATTTGTACAAATCTGAGAATTAAATAAGTCCAACACGCATACAACCCACGCGGTTGCAGACTCCCAGCCATGGCCCTCAGGCCCTGCCCACCCACCCCCCGGGTCAGCGTCTCAAGAACGAGCGAGCGAAGGAGACACACACGACCGTGATGGACGGAGATGACAGGACGAGGGGACGGTGGGCAGAACCAGGCTAGCCAGAGGAAGGCCAAAGTCAAAGTCGGCCCAGGAATGACAGGAGAAGGGAAGGCGCTGCCAGGTAAAGACACAAGTCCCCAGAGTTTTGGTCCACTCGGTAACCGACGTGCCCCTTCAATGAAGTTTTATCTGAAAATAGCGTCGACATTCAAATAAACACACTTGGTCAATGGCGCTTCTTTATACAAAGTCTAAAATACCAGTTTTACAAATGTGAACAGATAAAAATCCCCATTCCGGGAGTTTCTCTTTAGGCGCAATTTGATATTCAAAAACAAAATCACGTAGTACACCGTTTCCCTCTTTTTCTCTCCTCTTTAAAGGCAAGAAAGTCTGGAGGGGAGAGAGGCTGAGAAGCGGGAGGGAGGGCCAGGGCCGAGAGGAGGACAAGTCTGGGGTCCCTCCACACACCCCATCGCGAAGCTCCCGCAGCCCAGTTCTCCATCGCCCCAATCTGTGCTTCGTCCCGCGCTCAAGGCCCCGGTGCCCTCCCTCGACGAGCGTGAAAGTTAGAGCTTCGCTGGCCCTTTAAGGGCAGGGAGGGCGGAGAGGCTGCAGGATCAGTGCTAGAAGGGACGGAGGTGAGGCGGGAGGTGGGGAGGGGGGTGTCAAGTTTGTGCTTTTGAGTCAAAAAGGGGCGCACGTTTTGCGCCCCCCGCGCGCAGCGCGGTCGGGAGTCTGCCTAGGCGGGGGTGTCGCGGGACCGGCGTCGCCACCGCCTCCCCCGCCGCGGCCCCCAGCACTCCCAACTCTCGCTCCTCCTCCCCCTTTGGCGGAGTTTGAATGTCGAGTTCACAGAGAGAACACTCCGCGAACCAAAAAGGCCTATAAATTACAGCTTTTGCTCTTAAGAGGAGGGGGGGGGGGCAAAAGTTCTGATGCGCGTTCCTGGACGAAAACTCCGCCTGGCCCCTCCTTCCCCTGGGCGCGCGGGGCCGCCAGTCCTACGCCCGGGCGACCCCGACCGGGCCCGCCCGGACCGCCCAGTGCGGCGCGGCAAGGCCTGGGTGCGCTGCCCTCTCCCAGCGCTCCCGCCGCGGGTCCCGCAGGGTGGCCAGCCCCGCCGAGCGTCCCTCGGAGAGCTGGGCCCGCCCTCCCCGAGGGAGGGAGCCTTGTCCAAGTCTTCCTGGGAGGTGGGGCCACCGTCTCTTCTGGCGAGGCTAGAGGACGCGCAAAGGAAAAGTCCACCCGAACACTTTTCTTGTAAAACAACCGTCTGGAGCTCTGGGCACGGACACGCAATCCTCCCAATTTATCCTGGCATTTCGGGAATGTAAACAGATTCGTTGGATTTCTTTTCTCTCTGCGGAGTAAGTTAAGGAATGGAGGGAACGGGGAGAGTTTATCCACAAGACATACACACGATCTGCGTGTATAGCGCACACACCTCCCATAAAGTGCATTTCTTGGTGTGGTCCTGGGGGGGAACTGCTCCCCACCCACCCGCGACTTTCTGCCTTCAACATCACACACAAAAAATGTTATTCAAGTTAATACTTTTTCCCCCCTAATAGACTTCTTAATCTTAAAAAAAAAAAAATAGAAAAAAGAAAACCCAGACTGACCCCACCCCCCTTTTTCTGATTGGGGAGCCAACCTTTTGTTAGTCTGGCTGGCCAATGGGGAAAGAGAAAAAATCCCGGCCCTGCCTCGGTGCCAGGAGTCTGGCACTGGGAATGTGGAGAAAGGAGGAGGGGTGAGGTGGGCAGGCTGAGTTCCTCCAGGCACCTCAGAAACCCGGTGCACAGGCCCCAACTTCCCTAGAGCCTGGGGTCGGGGGTAAGGGACCCCCTCCAGTCCAAACTCAGCCTGTATGTCCCACCAAACCACACTCTTTCTCCTGTTTAAATAAAACAACTTCAAGAGTTGAAATATATATATTTAGATATTTTTCTTAAATAACATATTTACATCTAATAGAAAATATAACTCTAGAGATAATTTTCCAACCAAAACTGAGGGGGAGGAAGGAAGAATGAAAGGGGCTGAAGAGGTGTGAAGTCAGGGACAGGACCAGCCAGAAGGCCACATCCCACTCAGAAATCAAAAGCACTATGCCAAGTCTGCGCCCACTCGCCTGCTTGTCCGGGCTCTCCCACCCGGTAATTCATCTTTTCTCTTTAAAAAAGCCTTGGTCCGTGTTACTTTCCTTAATGGTGACAGTTAAAAAGTTTGAGGTCACATCAGTGACCACCACCTTCTCCAGGTTAGTCAGGGAGGGGCTCCAGGATTCTTCCTCCGGGTCCCCCAGGATTCTGGCCACTGGGATCCTGGCAATGAGGGAGGGTCTACCCCCCTGGGCCCCCATGTCCCGATACAGGCTACCCACAGAGCCTGGGGTGCCTGAGCCATGCCGGACCCTGGAGCCACCAGGGTCCAGGGCACCCTGACCTTTGGCCTCCAGGAAGGCAGCCCTGTGTTTTATGACCCTGGCAGGGAAGGTGTCCACAGCCAGCTTGCCCATGGCCTCTGCTGAGTTAGGACTGGTCACACCGCACTGCACCAGGTCCGAGTCCTGCCTCCGGGCCAGCTGGATCACGCTATGTCCAGCTGGGAACTTTCCTGCCCCAGAAGGGGTGTCGTCCAGCTTCCTGCCCTTGAGGTAATCTCCAAGGCCACCATCGCTGGATTCTCCCAAGGGCCTCTGTGAAGGGTCCAGGAGCTCCTTTCTGGGCTTGGGGCCTCGCTTTTTGGAGCTGTCCCCTGGTGAGCTGGGCTTGTCTTCAACTCGGCTGGTGCCCCGTTCTCGTTCCCTTTCACGCTCTCGATCCCTCTCCCTCTCCCGGTCCCGAGGGGGTTCTGCTCGGCAGGTGCTGCTGGTGCTGCTGCTGCTCCCTGGTGGGGACAGACCCATGTTCCGAAGGCCCTCTCGGGCCCGGGAAGTGGAAGCCAAGTCCTGGGGTGAACGGCCAGGGTAGGGGATCCGGATGCCCCGGGCAGAGTCACTTCTGAACTCATAAGTTTTGGCCTTGGCCTTAGCCTGGGCCTGCAGAGAAAAGGTGGTGTCAAGAGGGAAGAGGGGCCTCACCCACACCCAGGCTCCTCCAGCCTCACCTCCCAGCTTCACCCTCTGATTCCTGGGAAGTTCTGTATGGGTGGGGAGGAAGTGGGGCTTGTGGTGGCAGTCTCAGGGAATGGGAAAGAATTTGTCTGGAAGCAGCCATTTGTAGCCAGCACACTTCTTATATTTCATTATATATTCATTGGGATGGCTGGGGGGGAGCACAAAGGCATTCTTGTATGGTTAAATCCCTCCCCTGGACACCCATTGGTGCTGCCCACTGAATTAGCTGTCAGGGGATTCCCTCCCACATTACAAATTTTCCTGTATGAGGACACCCCTTTGCTTCACAAGCCCTCAGACCCACCCCCTCTGCACAGACTCCACATCACTGCACCCATCCCTGGATACTGCCATCCTACCTTGAGGAGAAAGGTTTTGGGTTTGGGTCCCCGTTTTTTGGGCCCATAGAGCTCCATCTCTCGTTCCCTAGAGAAAGGAAGGAGGGAGAAGGGGTGTGTGAGTAAAGAAACCAAGTGAGGCTCCAGTGCAGGCTGAAGAGGGGCAACCCTGCATCTTTCCAAGTGAGTAGAGGGAGTTTAGGAGGGTCTGTACCTTTCCTCAAAGGCTGCAAGCAGACGAGCATCCAGGATGTTTTCTTCTGGCTCCCATGTGCTGTACCTAAAAGGAATCAGGAAGAAGTGGGCGTCAGTCCCCGGAGCAAAGAAAGAGAGCAGAGGGCGTGTGTGTGTGTGTGTGTGTGTGTGTGTGTGTGTAACTTTTCTTGTTGCCTTGCATTGTATCTTAAAGTAATGGGGAAAAGAGGAAGAAAGAAACCTCCCGAATTACAGTCTGGGTGTGAGAATTACATATAACCTACTTACTTCTGTGACCAGCCCTTCCATTTCACGAGGTATTCCATGCGTCCCTGCGGATGCAAACGGGAAAATGTACGTGTGCATGGGGAGGAATGCATGACGAGGACACAAGAAATACATACGAAAATGCATGCACCAAATGAATGCTCAAAACCCCACAGCCAAAGGCACGCGCCCGCTGCATCACCCCTGCAAGAAACGCTGCACTAAGTGAATGCACCGGCATTCATTCCCCACCCCGCCCCCCACCCATGCAATCTGTGCATCGCTGCAAGTCTAAGGAGAGCACTAAGGCTCAGAGCTGCTGACGGCTGCTGCTGCTGCTGCTGCTGCTGCTGCCGCCACCACTACTGCTGCTACTACTGCTGCTGCTGCTGCTGCTGCTGCTGCCGCCGCCGCCGCCGCCGCCGCCGCCACGGCCGCAGCCGCTGCTGGGACCTGGGGGAAGGGAAGCTGCCTGCAGCAGGGGGAGGGAACCAGGGCCCGAAGGGGAGGGCCCGGCCGCGCCGAGGCCTGAGGCCCAGGGCACCTACTTTCCGTATGCGCCGCTTCAGGAGGGCTTCGGCCGCGAACACCCGCTCCCCCACCGCCGAAAGCTCCATGTTGACTCGCCGCTTCCCCCCTCGGCCGCTTCCAGGAGCAGAAAAGCAGCAGCCAGCGCACGACAGACCATAATACTCTCCCGCTGACGTCAGTTCTCCTCCCTCCCCGCGCTCGCTCCCTCCTGCGGCCCCCCGCCCGCGCCGCCGCGCTCCTCTCCCTCCTACCCCGCCCCTCGCTTCCTCCCGCCCCACGTGTTGCTAACGACGTTGCTAAAGCCGAACGGCTGAAGTCTGCTCCTCGCGCGCTGATTGGGCGAGCTCAGGGCCACGCCCCTCTCCCTGTCTCCCCCGCGTTGCTACGTGACCCGCGTTCCAATCGCCAGGGGGAGGAGTCTGAAACCACTCCAGAGGCCGAGCGCGGAGGAGGGGGCCGCCGGCGGAAGTGACGCCACGAGAGGGCGGGCTCTACCTCTGTCAGTCTGTGGAGCTGGAGAGGGGGTCTGGCTGCCCTCTGTCCTCACCCGAGCCCCCTCCCCCGCCACCAAGTTGTCTCTCCGGTGCTTGGCGTCCCCCACAGCTCTCGCTGGGACCTTCGCGGCGGCTTCAGACAGGCCCCTCCCCCTCGGCAGACCCCGGCCCGCCCCACCTCCAGCGCCCGGGACTCGCGCTGTCCCCTCCCCCGCTGCCGAGCTGCACAATGCACAATGCACAGGTGCTGGGACGCGGCTGAGAGCCGCGCCCGAATCCCGGGTCCCGGCGAGTGCCCCGGCTGCTCCCCACTGCCAGCCCCCTCCCCCGCCACACACCGACCCTCGGTCTCTATGGCAACGCCCCCCCGCCGTCGCCAGCCCCATCCCGCTAACGAACCGCTGTGCCTGCGCCTCGGTCTCCTGTCTCCCAGAGCTGCCCGCACCCACCCCGGGGGCTTGTCCGAATGCTTGCTCGGCTCCGAAGCCCAACGCAGACCGGGTGGAGGCTGGGCGCTCCCATTCGAGCCCTCCCACGTCCCGGGACAGCGGGGACGGGGACGTCGTGCGCCCGCTCTCCCCCGACCATCCCCGAGCCGGGAGCCACTTGCTCCTGTCCCTAGCGGGTGCTGTCCTCCCCTTCCAGGCCGCGGCCGCCCCTGACTTGGCCTGGGTTTGTTAAGGGCGTGGACGACCATGGGTCAGAGTCTGGAGCTTGGCTAATTTTGGGGTGCGTGGACGGGGACTCCTCGGGCCTCCTACAGACTAGGGCACCCGGCCCGCCAACTTCCTGTCCACCACTCTTCCAGACGTGCGTTGACTGATACCCGGCCATAAATGACTACATCGCGACATTAGGGGCGTCGCAGGGTCCAGTGCCGGCTTGGCAAGAGGGTCTCTGAAGATGGCGGGTCTGGAAAGGAGGCGAGACCGGGCCGCGAACGCCTCAGCTGCATGCATATGCACAGCTCTCGGTGACCAGTGGCAGGGGTTGGAGGGCAGCAGCGGAAACTGCAGCCGCAGTCGGGACCCAGCGACCTCCCACCCTTTTCTCTTATCACCTAAGCTCCAGATCACAATTCCCGCCCTCCGGAACCCACGATTTAGTTAAAACACCGATGATCTTCTTGACTGGAAGCGGATTCCCTTGGCCAGGGATGGAATGGGGTGGGATGAAGGGAAGGGAAAAGGGAAAAGGGAAAGAACGATAGAGAAGAGAAGCGAGCCAAGTAGTCTGGCTTCAAGGGCAGGAAGCCCAGGCGGAAAGCTGGCCTCGTGTCGGCAGCGAGGTGCACGGCGCGGGCGCGGCGGTCCTACGCGGGCCGCGAGGCAGACAGCGTCGGGCCCGCCCTCCCTCCCAGTCCTCTCGCCCTTGGAAAGAAGGGTTCCAGTTTTTGGCCTTGCTCTCAGACTTTACAAGGTGGGCGCTAGCCTGCAGTCCCATCTCTACGGTTGTCCCGTCTCAACGAACAGGGCGACCGTCGACGCCCGGATCGCCCTGGCGACCCGCACCCGCCGCCTATGAGAGGCCGCCGACGGTTGCGTCCTTAATCATAAAAAGTCATTCCCGGTAACAAATAGTTTCGTCGGCCGGTGCCAGCGATACAGCTGTTTCTGTTTAAGCTTAAATACTTTCCAACAGTTTGGGCAGTAAAAATAAAGTTGGCCTCAGCCGCCTATAAGTGTCTGGTTTCCCCGCCCAGAGAAAGCCCACCCTATGCCCTGGGCCTGGGTCTCTCTGCTCGCCGCGCCTGCCCCTCTTGGAGTCGCTGCCCGCCCCCGGCGACGGCTGCCAAAGGCTGCCGGCCACTCGCAGCCCTGCGCCCTGCATCATTCTTCTCGGGCTACAGGGCCACCTTGGAGCCAGAGGGAGGAAGCCTGCCCCAGGGGCCCAAGACCAGACCCTCCTGCCCTACCCTCCCCACACCCTTGGGAAGCTCGCCTGAGCGGAGAAAAGTGATGGTTTCCCTTCAGATAGGGTTTCTGTAGTTGTGCTTGCCTTGGGTGCCTATAAGGACACCGTGATGAGGCATGCAGAGGTTGGTGAATGGTTTCAGTTTCACACTGAAAAAGAAACAAGCTCTCCTCTTTTTCTGTGCTCCTTTCTTCCTTACATGACCCCCTCCTTCTCTCTCATTTTTCCTTTTTTGCTAAATACCCCTGAAGCTCTGCTGTGAGAAGGAAACCCCTGGTGTTGCTGGCTAGGGTCCTCTTCTATGGAGGGGTACTGGTGGTTTCTGCTTCCTGGCCCCATTTTTCCAACAGTCTTTTTGATGATGATTCTTTCCAAATAGCTTTCTGTCAACAAAATTAGCACTTGGGAGGTGTCTGAGTTTGCAAACTTCGAGGATTCATGCTAAGCCCAAGTCAAAGGTGGAATTCTGCTCAAAAGAAAACCAGCAATACAGAATAATCTGAGGCTTGGGGGAGTTGACTCCTGTTGGTAGCAGTAGTTCTCTGTCCTCCAGAGAAATGACTCTGGTTGTTTCAGCCTTGCCTGGCACACCCTGCCTCCTGCTGCCCAGAAACAGCAGGGTTGAAGGAGGTGTGAAAATAGGTCACTGGGCAGCTTCACACCCCTGGACAGTTTGGAGAGAAAGAGAGAGGTGGGGGGGTCTGAGAAGTGGGTCTGCAGTCCCACAAGACCCAGAGCTAGGTAGGAAGGGGAGGACACCTATGGGTGCCGGGAGAGGGCGCTAACATAAGAGTGGTAGCACCCTCACTCTGGTCCTTTGAGACTGGTCAGCTGGTGGCACTGCCCCAGGAACCACTGGAAGGAGTATTCCCACTCCCCACCTTTCTTACTGAACCCTCTCCTTCCCCTACTGACTTAGTTCTCACCTCTCTTCTTTCTTCCACAGAACTGCTTTTTCCAAGTTAGATAATTTCTTTTCCCACGTGCACCTACCACAAAACAAACTTTCAAAGTACCGCAGCTTTTAATCCCACTTCTGGGAGTCCAATAATGCAGCGCCCAGGTTGGCATGCGCAGCCTCTGCAGTAAATAAGGTAACTGCTTCCTATTACTTTAGCCCCATATGGCTGCAATTTGAGTGTCTTTGGAGACAGTGCTTGTGTTATGGGTGGGGGAGTGGAGGGTGGAGTGAAAGTGGAAATCAAATGCTCTTAGATCGTATTTTTATGAAGGAAATTGTCGGTGGTTCTCTTAACAGCCTGCACCCCCTCCCGGATGATCTGCTCTGTTTCTTTGTTTACGGAAATGCAGGCTCCAGCAGCGTGGAGACACCTGCTTCCAGAACCCCAAGTCTCTCTGTCCTAGTCCTCACTTCTGTGATGACCTGGGCACTGGACCCAATGCCCTTCTCGAAAAAGAGCCTCTAACCTGCTGGAGGGAACCCGCAGGATCCCCGGGCCCTAGCCAGGAACCCAGTGCCAGGACCCAACTCGGAGCCCCGACTTTACACCGCAGAACCTGCAGAAGGTCGCACAGCGTCTAGGTTCCCTCTTAGGCCTCCCAGTGCCTGCCGCCCACGGACTCAGCCTTCGGTGAAGGAGTCCGGAGGCTGGAGTGGTGCAGGTGAGGGGCGGGCCGGCCGGGTGGGGCGCTCCGCTCTTGGGTCGCCAGCCAGAGCGGCAAGCCCCAGCGCGTCCTCTAGCTGGAGGCTGAGGCCGGGCCTCGGCTCGTTCTTTGGGAGCATTTCAACTTCGCGGCTTGGCGGGCGTCGGACCTGCCCAGTCTTGGCCGCAGACGCGGGAGGATTTGGAACCCCACCGTTTGCCTCTAGCAGGCCAGCGGGAGGCCAAAAGTGAGCGCGGTCGCCTCCAAGGTGTGGCCGCGTGAACGGCAGTGGTGGCCAGTGGCTTACCTTCGGAGGTCCAGCCCAGGGGGTGGGGTGGGGGGGTGGGGGGGTAAGGGGAGGCATCCAGCTTGCCTACCTGGCGCCTGCCCGCAACGGGTCCGCTGCGGGAATGCAGCAAGGATCACCCAACACCCTGGACAAGGTTCTGAAGGCAGGGCCTGGACAGGCTGGTGGGTGATTAGAAGGGAGGCTGTGGGGGCTTCAGGCCGGGGCTCCAACCTCTAGTTGTTAGAGAAGCCAGAATAGCTCTCCTTTCCTGTTCCACTTAGTCCTCCCTCTTAGACGGCCACATCCTGCCTGCTAGGGAAGGGCAAGCCAGGAGGAAGAGTGAGAAGGGTTGACCACTTTACAGTAGTCCCCAAGGGTCCGCACACTGGGAGCCTCTGGGTCTTTGCTTTCTGCTCCCTTAGACTACAGAAACCCAGATCAAGGCCCCACCCTGTCCCTAGAGGAAGGAAAAGTTCAGTAACATCTACCAGCACTTCCTTGCATTTAGCGCCGGCACTACTTAAGTCACAGCAATCAGGAAGAATCACCTCTCTTATCCCCATTTAATAGATGAAAGGAAGGAACAGTGAGGTCAAGTAACTTGCTCAGGTGCACACAGCAGCAGTTCTGCCTGAAAAATCCTAAGATGGAGTATCTCATAGGCCACAGCAGTCTAAAGACCCTCTGGAGTCCCCTCTCGCTTGAGGAAGGAATTTAAAGTAAGAAAGGACGGATGGAAACCTTGTGGAACTGGCAGAGCAGTGCCTGTAGCAGAGCCCTCAGCAGAAGTGATGGGACTGGAATAAAAAAGGGAAAGTGTTCTCAGAGCCCAATCCACACACCTGGAGGCTGAGTGTTGCTGGGAATATTTGATTTTATTTTACAGT